TGGGGTCCCCGTGGCTCCGCGTCCCCTGACGCTGCCTGTGCCTGTCCCTCTGCAGGACACGTGGCATCCCTGACCCCGGCCCCGAGTGACACGGACCCCGAGGGGACGCTGGCGGCGGGTGAGGCTGGGCTGGGGGGGATTCCCAGGGATATGTGGGGGTCCTTGGGGTTTTGGGGGGGGTGCAGTGGCTCTGCAGTGTCCCCTCTCCCCATAGGCGACAGCACAGGGAGGGGTCTCCCCGCAGCACAGGTGAACAGGTATGTGGGGTCAGGGAGACACTAGGGTGCCATGGGATGATTCCCCCTATCCTTGGGGGGGTCCTGGGTGGGCACTGAGCCGCCCCCTCTGTCCCTGGCACAGTGGCCCTGGGAAGATGCCCCCGGACTCGGTGCCCCCCTCCGCTCTCTTCGGGCCCCCCCTGGAGTCGGCGTTCGAAGCCGAGGATTTCCCGGGTGAGGATTTGGGGGGCGGGATGGGGGATATCTGGCGTGTCCCGTCCCCCTTCCCCCCCTGCAGCGCTCTGACCGGGGCTCTCCCGCAGCCCCCCGTGCCTACGTCCTCACCTCCTCCTCCTCGCCCTTCTCCTCCTCCTCCCCGGAGAACGTGGAGGATTCCGGCCTGGACTCGCCCTCCCACCCCGCGCCCGGACCCTCCCCGGACTCCAGACCCTGGACCCCCCAGCCGGGGACGCCGCAGAGCCCCCTCCCCAAGCAGGGCGGCCTCCCGGACCCCCCCCCGCCCCCCAGCACCCGGGACCCCGGTGCCTGGGCCCCCCGGCCCCGCAGCCCCTCTGGCTGCCTCCCCGAGCCCCCCAACTTCGCCGTGTTCGGTGGCCCCGGGGCTGAGGGGCTCTGGGGGGACGGGGGGGCTGCTCCCCGGGGCCGCAGCCGCTGCCTCAGCGGCCCTGCCCCCCGGGAAGCCCCCTCGCCCGACCCTTTTGGGGAGCCCCCGCCGTGGGTCAGACCCCGCAGCCCCGGGGGGGACCAGCCCCCGCTGACGTGTCCTTCCTCCAACTCGGCCTCCTCCTCCTCCTCCTCGCCGGCCCCCCTGAGTGGGGGGGAGTCCTCCAGCCCCTCTCCGTGGACCTGCCAAGGGTCGGGGACGAGGCTGAGTGAGGGGGGCACGTCAGGAGCCCCCGCATCGCAGTCGGAGCCGGGTGAGTGGAGGGGGGAGCTGCCCCCCAGTACCCTAAACCCTGCCCCCTGTTACCCTTACCTGTGCCCCCCCATTACCCCAAACTCTGCCCCCTTATCCTTAACCCTGCCCCCTGTTACCCTTACCCGTGCCCCCCCATTACCCCTATTTTCCACCCCTCCTTTACCCTTAACGTTTCCCCTTCCCAACCCAGCCGAGAACGGGGCTGAGACCCACCCAACTCGTGGCACTGATGACCCTCTGCAGGAACCCCCCTGGGTGTCCTGCCACGGCAGGGCTCTCTCCTCACCCCCCTACTCGTTTCCCCCCCCAGATTCTCTCCCCGCCTGGTCCAGCGCAGCCCCCCGGGACGTCCCTCTCGTGGCCCCCCCTCGCCGCTCCCGCGCCAAGCGGCCGCCGGCCGGCCCTGCCGTGGGCAGCAACAGCGACCTGGTGCGTGCCCGGGGCTGGGGGGGGGGGCTCAGGGCCCGGCTTTGGGACCCCCCCAGAGGGGGGTTCTGAACCCAGACCCCCCCCTCTCCCTGCCCCTGTCTCTCCTGGCAGTCCCGCTCGCTGAGCCCCTCGCCCTCCTGGAGCTGCGGCCCCTCGCACTCGGCGCCCGCCAGCCTGAGCGAGCGCGGCTTCTTCGCCATGGCCCAGCCGGCCCTCGGTGGGTGCTGGGGGGGCTCGGGGGGCGCAAGGTGGGGGTCCCACCCGTGCTCTGACCCCCTCGTGTGCCCCCTGGCTTGCCCCCCCCCAGGGCTGTCTCGGGGTCCCAGCCCCGTGGTGCTGGGCTCGCAGGACGCGCTGCCCGTGGCCACCGCCTTCACCGAGTACGTGCACGCCTACTTCAAGGGTCGTGATGCTGACAGGTACGGGGGGGGTCCCGGGGGTCCCCCTGGCCGCTGTGTCCTGCCTGGGGCACCCGCTGACCCCCGGCCTGTCCCCGGCAGCTGCCTGGTGAAGGTGACGGGGGAGCTCACCATGTCCTTCCCCGCCGGCATCGTCCGCGTGTTCAGCGGCACCGCGGCCCCGCCCGTGCTCAGCTTCCGACTGCTCAACACGGGGGCCATCGAGCACTTCCTGCCCAACACCGACCTGCTCTACAGGTGGGGAGCCACGGGGATGCCCTGCATGGGAGCTGGGGGCACGGGCACCCTGGGAGAGGGTGGGCACGGCCATGGGGGGCTCGTGGTGGCGTACGTGTGGTCCCTGGAGGTCTGGGTGTCTGGGGGAGCCGGCGGGTGCAGCTGGGTATGGGGGTGCCGGGTTCTGGGGGGTGCCCCTCTGACCCCCTGTCCCCAGCGACCCCTCCCAGAGCGACCCCAGCACCAAGGACTTCTGGCTGAACATGGCAGCGCTGACGGGGCAGCTGCAGCGGCAGGCAGAGCAGAGCCCGGCCGCCTCCTACTACAACGTGGCTCTGCTCAAGTACCAGGTGAGCTTCGGGGGGAGGGGTGTGGGGAGAGCTGGGACCCCCTCCAGCACCCACCCTGGGGGGGCGGGAGGGTCTGGGTGCCCCCCTGAGCCCCCGCCGTGTGCCGCAGTTCTCGCGGCTGGGCCCCGGCTCGGCGCCGCTGCGGCTCTGCGTGCGCTGGGACTGCGCCCCCGGGGCCACGCGGGTCAGCGTCGACTACGGCTACAACGCCGGCGCCCTGGCACTGCCCGTGCCCCTCGCCAACGTCCACGTCCTGCTGCCCGTCGAGGAGCCCCTCACCAACCTCCGGCTGCAGCCTGCGGCCAGCTGGTACCGGGGCGGGGGGCGGGAACTGGCCCCGGGGGTGGGGGGGACGCACAGCACTGGGGGTCACAACCCCACCGGGCTGGGAGGGATGGGATGGGAGATCTTGAACCTCCCTGGGGTGGGAAGCACAGGAGGGGGGGTCTCAGTCCGCCCCCGGAGTGGGAAATGGGTCCCAAACCTGCCCAGAGTGGGAAACGTAGGAGTGGGGGTCCCAATCCTCCCCCAGGGTGGGAAATGCAGGACCTGGGATTCTAAACCTCCTCAGGGTGGGATACACAGGACTGGGGTTCCCAAACACCTCCAGAGTGGGAGGCACAGGAGATGGGGGTCCCAAATACCCCCCAGGGTGGGAGGCACAGGAGAATGGGGTTCTAAATTTCTCCAGGATTGGGAGAGGGGGACCCTGAACTGGGAATTTGAGGCCCTGAGCTGGGAAATGGGGGTGCTGCCGGGGTGAGGAGGGCAGGGAGGCGGGTTCAGGATGAAGGGGGGGGGGGGGGGGCTTGGGGGTCTGAGGGCATTCCCGTGTCCCGGCAGGAACCTGGAGGAGAAGAGGCTGCTTTGGAAGCTGCTGGACGTCCCTGGTGCCCCGGGGCAGGGAGGTGAGTCTGTGCCCACCCTGAGGGCATGGGGCAGGGGGGCACAGGGGCCAGACCCCCTCAACCCCTGCGCTGTCCCCCCAGGCTGTGGGCGGCTCTCGGCCAGCTGGGAGCCCCTGGGGGGGCCCAGTAAGCCCAGTCCCGTGGCCGCCCAGTTCAGCAGCGAGGGCAGCACCTTGTCGGGGGTGGAGGTGGAGCTGGCGAGCGCCGGGTACCGGATGTCGCTGGTCAAGAAGAGGTTTGCTACAGGTACAGCTGGGGAGGGGGCACACCCCGGGGGCGTGGGGTCCTTTCCCCACAGCCTCGGTGGGTAGGGGGTCCTCTCCCCATCCCCTGTGTCCTGAGGTGCACAGAGTCCCTTCCCTGTTCCTTCCCCGAGGTCCACAGTGGTCCTTTCCTGCTCCCCACAACCCTGGGGTGCGTGAGATCCCTTTTCCAGGGTGCCTGGAGTCCCTTCCTGCAGCACACGGGGTCCCTTCCCTGCTCGCTGTGACCCTGGGGTTCATGGGGTCCCCTCCCCTGTCCCCAAACTCCAGTCCCCTCTCACTGGGCAATGCCCAGCCCGGGAGGGTGCAGGTTGCCCAGCTTGCTGCTGGCATTGAGCCCTGGCCGCTTGGCAATGCCCATCCTCGTGCCAGGGGTGTTCCCCCCACCCCTCCTCACCCACCTTTCCTCCGCAGGGATCTACCTGGCAGGGTCCTGAGCCGCCTCCCGCCGGACCCTCCGAGCCCCCCAGGCTTCCCCCTTGGTTGTGTGAACTTGAAACACTGGATGGAGGCCGGCTGGGGAGGGGAGGGGGTGCTGTGGGGTGGGAGCCCCCCCTTTTCCTCCTCCTTTTCCTCCTCCTCCTCCTCTCCCTGTTCCCCCTTCCCATGGCTGTCACCGCGTTGGACACCCCCCCTGCCCTCCCCCGTGCTGTGAAGGGAGCAGGAGCTGCTCTTTTATTAAACACTTTATTTTCTAATAACCTTTATTTTCTAATAACCTCCTCGTGCCCGTGGGTGGGTGGGTGGGTGGGTGGCACGGGGCAGGGGGAGGATTCCCACAGGATACTGGTGCCACTGGGATCATGGTACTCTGGGATGTGAGGATGGCACTGAGGCATTGGGGGAGCTCTGGTGGTCCAGGGGGTCTCTCTGGGGGGGGTCTAGGGCTGTGCCTGCCCTTGGTGCACGACATTCCCAGTTCTTCCGAGCTGCCGGTCCTTCCCGGTGCTGCTCCGGGCCCTGGCAAGTGCCGGGGGAGCCCCAGTGGTCCCCCAACATTTCCTCCTCTTGGCCTCTAAATCACCCCCTGGTGAACTCCGAGAGGCAGGAGTTGATCCCCAGGACCCGGGGCAGGAATTTGGACGGAGCCTCGTGGGGGTGTTCCCAAGCCCCTGGAATGCTGGGAAGCTCAGCCAGCGGCGGGAGCACAGGGATGTGCTGCAGTGGGGTCTCCTTCTGCAACCTGGGGCTGGGGGAGCATCTTCTAGGGGGTCTGAGCATCTTCTAGGGGGTCTGAGCATCTTTTAGGGGGTCTGAGCATCTTTTAGGGCCACTGAGGAGGATCCAGAGCTGGCAGGAAACACCCCAGGACCCCCTGGGCTGTGGTTCCCTCCCAACCCCTGTAGCTGCTGCTCCGTACTGGGAAGGGGGACCCCAGGGATGGTCCTGCCAGGAGGGCAGAGTGATGTCTGGAATGCTGAATCCCGGCTCTCGGACTCAGTTCCGCGCTGCTCCGGGCCTGTTCCTGTCTGGTTTCACCCCAAATCTGCCCTCCCGTGGCCAAAGGCGGCAGAGGGAGAAGAACCGAGTGCGTGTTGTTAATGAGGATCTGGGGTCTGGAGCCTTTCTGAGCGGGTGCAGGGACGACGGGGCTGGTTTTGGGGGGGATCATGGGCTCAGGGTGGGAGCAAAGGAATCCCCTGAGCCCACTGGGGTGGGCATTGACCCCACAGTGCCGAGCCGGGGCCCCCTCACTGGGATGTGCCTGCTCTCTCCCAGCAGCTCCACAGCAACCAGACGCCCACACCCCCCTTCCCCACGTGTCCCCCCTCCCCAGGCACGCCCTCACCTCACCCCAGCTGGAAAATTTACCAAACTTTAATAAAATAAGGCTGAATTAGCCGTGGTGGAGGCAGGAACAGGGAGAAGGGGAGGGGGGGAAGCCAAGGGGCAGCGCGGGGGAGTGTCTGTGTGCCATTGGGAGAGGGGCACGGGGGTCTTGTCCCCCCCACACTGTGCCCCTCAGAGCTCCTTGAAGCTTCGTTGTGGCCACACGGTGCTGAGGAGGGAGGTGGGTGTCCGGAGGTCCCAGCCAGGGGGGAGTTTTTTTGGGGGGGGGTGTTCTACCCACGGGCTTTGCTCCGACCATCCCGCAGCGCCTCGATCCTGGGGGACAGCTCCCCAAAAGTGGGCCTGGCGCTGGGAGCGAAGGCCCAGCAGCTCATCATCAGCGAGTAGACCTGGGGACAAGGGACGGGGAGGCCATCAGGGGAGCGGGGGGACCCCCAGGACCCCCCCCCAGGACCCCCCAACAGCCCGGGCAGGGCTCGCACCTCCGCGGGGCAGCCGGACGGCACCGGGAGGCGCCGGTTGTCCTTGAGGAGCTCCAGCAAGTGGCAGATGATCTGCGCCGGCTTCCCGGTGCCCATCATCCGGAGGAACTCCTGCGGGGGCGTGTCCGTCGGCACCGGGATCAGCCGGGGAGGGGCTCGTACCACAGGTAACAGACCCCAGCCCCGGGGAGGGGGGTGCAGCGGGACCTCAGCCCCTCTGGATGGGGGTCTCACCTCCGAGGGGCTCTTGCTCTTGTTGCTGTAGGTGAAGAGCTCGTAGAGCAGGACCCCGAAGCTCCAGGCGTCGGATGCGCAGGAGAAGACGTTGTCTGCCAGGGATTCGGGAGCGTACCTGCCCGAGGGGAGACGCTGAGCACCGGACCCAGCTGGGATCGCAGCCCCCCGTGACCCCCCCCGTGCTCCCCCCTCTCACCAGAAGACGGGGCTCTGGCCGGGCTCCCGCACCACGTAATAGTCCTTGTCCTGCGGGAGCAGCTTGGCCAGCCCGAAATCCCCGATCTTGACGTGGCTCTCGCTCTCCACCAGGATGTTCCTGCTGGCCAGGTCCCGGTGCACGCAGCGCTGCCCCCCCAGGTATTCCATGCCCTGCCGGGATGGAATGCTCACGGGGACCGGGACCCAGGAGCATCCCCGGGGGGCTGGACTACATCCCAGCTGGACCACGGCCCCTGGGGGCTCATCCCGGCTGGACCACGATCCCCCAGGCGATCCACGGCACTGTTCCACCCCCCCCACCCTGGGAGAGCAGGACCCCCGCTGCCGCCACCCCCGCCGCGACCCCACCTTGCAGATCTGCCAGGCGTAGAGGAGCAGCGCCCTGTGGTCCAGGCGGGGCTGGTTCTTCTGCAGGTAATCCCGCAGGCAGCCGTTGGGCAGGAATTCCATCACCAGCCGCAGCCCCCGCCATCCTGGAGCCACACCCGTCACCCTCCGGCCAGGGTTTGGGCAGAGCCGGGATGTGGGATCCCTGCCCGCCCCCTGCCCGCCCCGTGCTCACCCCGGCTGTAGCAGACGCCGCGGTAGCGGACGATGAAGTCGTGCTGCAGCGAGTGCAGGATCTGGATCTCCCGCTCGAAATCCCGCAGCTCCTTGGCCGAGTCCTGCTGCAGCTTCTTCACCGCCACCAGCTCGCCCGTGCTGTCCCCCAGGGGGTCGTAGCGGCACAGCTCCACGCTCCCAAAATTACCCTGGACGGGGAGGGCCGGGCTGGGATGAGGGATGTGCCCCAGAGCCCCCCCCCCAATATTCCCAGTGCCTGTTATCCCTCCCAAAATCCCACTCTCGGGGCACAATCCAAGCGTTTCTCAGCAAAGCAAGGATGTTCCACGCTCCGAATCAGGTGAGGGAGGAGGGGGTGCACTGAGGTTTGGGGTTCAGAGCCCCCTTTTCCCCCTCCCCTCACCTTTCCCAGCAGTGAGATGTACTTGAGGTGCCGCTCCTGGAAGTGCTCGGGGTCCCGGCTCACGGCCAGGGGTTCGTGTCCCCAGAGGCTGTCCCGGAGCGCCACGTCCGCGGGGGACAGGTCCGACAGCAGCTCGTAGTCTGGGGGAGGAGGGTGGTGAGGGCGCTGCGGGGGGTCCCCCGTGCCCCCCTCCCCAGCCCCGGGGGCCCACCGGAGGTGATGAGGCTGTTGAGGTCGCGGATGAGGGCGCGGAAGCAGGGCCGGCGCTGGGGCTCGTATTCCATGCACTGGGCCATGAGCGTGGCCAGCTCCGGCCACTTGGGAGCCGGGAGCTGCAGCCGGCTCTGGTAGAAATCCAGCTTCTGCAGGGGCGGGAAGAGGGGGCCCGGGGTGGCTGTGGGGTGTCTGGGGCCACCCCGAACAGCCCCTGAACAGCCCCAAAGCTGGGGGAGTGAGAGGGGCCCCGGTGCAGCGGGACGGGGCGGGAGGGTTGGGATGCAATGGAATGGGAGAGGAGGTTTGGGATGCAAAGGGGCAGGACGGGAGGGATGGGGCAGGAGGGTCAGGATGCAGTGGAGTGAGGCAGGAGGATCAGGATGGGGCAGGAGGGGTGGGAGAGGAGGATTG